TCATAAATTGATAAGTTCGCCAACAAGAGCTTATTTAGTTTATTGAATCGTGTCAATCCACTTATATTTTATTAATACACCATACATTATCCCTATAACATTGATCTGTTAAACTCGTGACCTAAAACCCAATCCATCATTATTACTCTCCCATTGTATCAAAGCATTTATACATATTCCCAATTTATAATTATATATCCTTAACATTCCCTGTACTTATAAATTGATATACTGTTAATTCAATAGTTTTATTAACGTAAACAAGTTCTTAAAGTTATTAAATTAAATCATTATCCTTCAGATATCTAAAATCTTGCTATATGTATTGAAGTCTATTTTTCAGTCAGTAGACTTCATAATCGACTCGTATAATAAATTTGGTGTGAGTTGGGTGGATACTCAACAAAATTAAGTGGATTTACTAGGAATTGAAATTGAGATTTTAGTAAAAGTTAATGTCAAACGTTAAAGTCAAACTCAGACTATTATACACATCTCAAGGACTTCAATTAGAATTACAAATAAGGGTACTCAACAATCTTTTAGAAACAACCAAAAGAGAAGATGTTATAACATTTGCAACTATCCAAAGAATTCAAAAGGAAGTAAACGAAATTAAAGATTTTATAAGATTTCACAAGTTAAAGATTACAATCGACGAAATTCTTGAATATTTAAGTGAAAGATAGTATATGTTTAGTCGATCAGAGTATTATCAGAGAATAATCAAACATAGTGAAGCACACTCACAAGGAAACACTTAAGTATTAAAAGAGAATCCAAATCCATCTTATATCCATTGCTATCTGATAACAGAACAACCTTTAAAAGAATTTGGAAAATTTTGGTATTTCTGGATAGTTTATTCATTAAAAAGAGACTCATATACTAGTATTACCGAAAAGGCTTTTGATAAAGCAAAAGAAAACAAAGATAATTCTGTAGTATTAAATCAGTGTTTTAAATTAATTATAACCTCCATAAAATATCACAAATTTGCACAAGAATCTTTTGAAGACTTACTAAATATATTAAAAAATGAGTGGAGTAATTACTTGAAAATTGTTTCGCCTATTGTTTTGTCTGAAACACTATATAACACACATAATTTATTATACTTAAAATTATTATAAATAGGATGGATTTTTTCTAAATAGA